TTTGGTGTGCTTTTCTGCAGGGAATTATGAGGAGCCAGTCCATTGCGGATCTTCCGTGGCCTTTGGACGACTCATCTGCTCCAAAGATGGACTTTGGGAAGGGGAGGTGGACGGGCTGCTGTTTGCTTCAGGCGAGGTGTTATTTCCCCAGATGGGTTTTCAGAGAAAGGATCATGACGGGCAATTTCTGGTCCTATGTGGATTTCTTACGTGAGATGTGTAGCGAGATGTGTGAGTTATTTTGCGAGTTAGCCTGGCTTCTGTCATTCTTTTCGCGGCGCCGGACATCACTGGTTTAATTTGTGGGATCGGATTTGGGACATGGAGCCCAAGGAAATGTGCCAAAAACCGATTCATCGCTCACGGTGCCGCCCCACTTGAACCGGGGGGGGGGGTAGATTCCTTTTTGTTTATTTGGGCGCACGTTCCAAGCAACAAGGAATGGTGTGTGTGTGTGTGTGTGTGTGTGTGTGTGTGTGTGTGTGTGTGTGTGTGTGTGTGTGTGTGTGTGTGTGTGTGTGTGTGTGTGTGTGTGTGCGTGTGTGCGTGTGTGTGTGTGTGGGTGGGTGCGTGATGGATGTGGGGAGATTGGGTGGGATTGATGGATAGGTGGATGGATGGGTGGATGGGTGGATGGAGGGTCTAGGTGTGGATGGAAAACATCTGGACCACTGGGCAAGGAAGACAAGAGTGGTGAAGGCTGCGCAATGAAACATAAAAGGACGTAAAGCAAAATTTAGGTGGCAGACGCTAGGGAGGATACACATGATATGTTTGATGGCCATGATTGAGATTAGACCATGAAAAAGCCGTTTGCCCCAGCATCGATTGAGCCTGAGTCTGAAGCAGATCAACCCAAGACGACACTTGGCCATTCTGTTTTTATCCTAACCAGGAGCGGCTTTTGGCCGGCATCAAGGAGAATCGCAATTGTGTCGGTCTTGGACTTCAGCGACGCCCAAGGACCCCCCCATGCATGATTCTTTACCAGAAGAAGAAGCCTTAGGTCCAACGGGATCTCAAAGTGAGCTGACTACTCTGAGTCAATTACTGGTTTGTGATTTCGGTATGATTTGCCCAGCACTTCATTTCCGCACTTCTCAAAAGGTTTGGATACAGGCAAACCTACAGGAAATGGCTCCAAAACACCCTAAATCAGCTTTTCTCCAGGAGAACTTCCTGCAAACCCCCTTTGAACTTCCCTCCGGAGCCTCCGGCAGGTCTTTGACAAGCCCCGGAAAGGCGTGCGGAAGATCGTGCTGAGCGGGCGCCTGAGCGTCCGGAAGCTACCCCGCAGCCCTCAAACCATCCTGCCGAACAATCGGCGGGGCGTGCACAGCAGAGAGCGCTTACGGATACCCCCGGCTCTCAGGATGGCAGAGGTAGCAGCAGCTAGGTAAAAAGGACCTTCTGCTTGCGATCGTTTGTCTGGATACCCCGCAGCCGGAAGGTCTCCTACGGTCTCCTTCCCCAAAAGCAGACCTCTTGAAGCAGTGATGCGTGTTCGGCTTTCAAGCTAACTTGATTGTGTGAAATGCCTAAATAACATTACATATATGCATATATTTATATATATGTATACATATACATATGTGTGCATGTGATTTTACGCGGATCCCGAAGCCAAGGCTCTTGCAACAAGCCCCAAGAAGGGACGGACATCTCTCGCGCTTTTGGTCCCTTAGACATGGCCGTCGGGGACTTGCTCACCAAACATGCCCAGAGATGAGCCAAGGGCATGGATGCATTTGAGACCTCTCCTGATGCCCAGCACAAGTCCCTCAGTTCAGAGGCACCCTTCCCTTTTTTGGTTGGCTCACTCTTGTGAAGGACTACCCACACACTGAAACACCAGGGAACCACCTGAAACGCCATAAAACCCGTCCTCCCGGCACCCCCCAAGCCCAAAGCACCCCACACAAAGCCCCCTCGAAGCTCCCCCAAAAAGCGCCCCCAAAGCCCGCCCCAAGCGCGATGGTCCATGACGGTCCCCTTTACCTTTCAGGTCACTGCAATGCCTACCCCCCCCCCCACCCCCCGCAAACCCCCACACCCGCCCACGCATCCCCACCCCCCACTCCCCCCGCAAACCCCCAAGCACACCGAAAACGCACGCGCTCGGTTCGGGGTCTTTAGGCACGAACATTGCGGAGACGGGGGTGACGATCCCGGACGTGGTCTTCGTCGTGGATGCCGGGAAGGTGAAATGCCCGGGGCTTGGACTTCCGGCTCCTTGGGCCTTGGGGAAGTGGGTGGCTGTGGCTGGCAGGTGGGTGAATGCGATCGGCAAGATCACCTAGGTCCCCCAGTAGTGCCCGTTTACCCTTTTGTGGGACTAAAATAGACTACAGAAAAGTACCCTGATTCTAACCTTTCTGGAGGACCTAGTCACATTGCTGTCCAAGACCCCTTGGATTTCAACGTGAACTAAACAATCGTGGACGTGATTGTCCTATGATGTTTGTATTTCGGTTTCAAAGTACCCCCAGAAACGCTTTTAGTAGCAGAGGCTGAAGCATGGCGGTTTTGGTTTGCTTTTGGTTTCTTCTGAGAAGCACAACAACAAAGATGATCGTGGTGGTTTCCGTTTGAGTTTCTATTCTTTGGTTGTGAGAAAGTGTTTTGTACCGAACTGGGTGGGCCCGAAACCCCGTGTCAAGCACCAGCAAAGGAGCTGTTCGGCGGCAGTTAAAGCAAAACAACAGGACACCAACCCTCGATGAATAGGTCCGAGTGTTTATTTGTTGATGTTTTTTTTGTTTTTTGCATTGATCCACACTTTGCCAGGTGGAGTTCTAAGAAACCAGGAACAAATTGATCCTCTCCGGCAAATCCCGAGGTCTTTTATGATGAGCGTTTGGCCCATTTGGAGAACTTCCTGGTTTGCTGGTTAGCCAATGGGTGCTGCGATTCGATGGCATCTTCTACAAGTCGATTTGGGGAGTTTCAGAGGGTCAGGGTGCAGATTGCATTTGCCCATATGGGTGTGCTTGTTTGTTTGAGGCTTGGTACCCTTCCTGCGGTGGTTTGGAAAAGGGAACCAAAGGGAGAACCCATGCCATTGTGGGGATCCCCTCTTCAAGACGCACTCATGTTCGCTATGGCCCCGTGCATCCGGGGTCCATGCTGCCAACATCTTCGGCGAGGCCAAAGATATCACGAGCCCTCCAACACCAGCTCCTTGAAGGAGCAGTTCATCTCCAAAGCGGAGGTGTGGCATATGCCTGGGGTTTCCTCCAACACGTGTTCTTATGTTCTCACTAAGCACCAATTTTTTCGGTGTACCCCAGCTGCGGGCCAAGATGCGATATTTGATGGCGAGCTCAGGTAAAACGTGGGTCCTTTGCTTGGAGCTGCCTGGTTTCAAGTTGCTGAATTGCTTTTATTGTAGTGGCTAGGTTTGTATGTCCCTCTGAGGGGTACAACGAGCGCAACCCAAGGCCATGGGATCACGTCGCGGATGTTCCACTTGCAAAACCTGGGCATGGGATTCGGTGCATAGTGGACCCTAAATATACACCTGGGCAAAGGGCCCTGCTCACAAAATGGGACCGCTGGATGCCCACATTCACTCTGGACAGCGGCGTTTTCCAGGTCCAGCAGCGGAAAGGTCGAGCCGGGCGTGTCCGGGACGGCTTTGGCCTGCCTGCCATGTGACCGGCGCCGCAGAGCCCTGATGTCCAATCCAAAGATCTTGATTCAGGGGACTTCCCATTGCCAAGTATTGTGTTTGTTCGGTAATTTGCTTGTTTCAATCTTGTTAAGTCGTTTGTTTGTCGTGCATAGTTCCTCTTGGTTTCAAAGGGACACGAACATGGCAACGGTCTCCTTTTGGTGTCCCTTCAAATCACCTCAAAAATTGTACCCCCAACAAAAATCCACAAACCCATTTGATAAAACCAAGAAGGGATTCTAGCCAAAAAGACACCCAATGGGTTTTCCGAATTAAACCGCAAGGTTGTTCACTTTTAGCAGGGTTGCTTTCTGCTCCACACCACTGGGTTTGATTTTCGGAACTGGCGCCACGGGAGCTCCCGCCGTATCCCCGCTTGTTCGCTCCCCTCTGGTTGGGAAAGCGACCGCGATTTCTTTGATCCAGGGTTTGCATTGGTCCCGTCGGTCCTGCCAAAATCAGCCAGGCTTCACCTTGGTAACGCAGCGACGGTTCCAGCTGCGGCTTCAGGACATGGCCGTTTGCAACTGCATGTCTTCAACTTGGCTGTGGGTCAAAACCAAGGTATCCCATTTTGGGGTAGGTGCACCACCCATTTTAGAACTTATTTGAGTGGGGATTGGGATGTTCCCTGGGGGTACGGGCTTTTGACCCATGGCCATTTATGTGTTCGGGTCACATGTTAGTTGTGCGCGATTCGCAAAAGCTGCATCCCAAAAGGCCGGCGATTGGGCCGCGATTGGGGTAACATCTACATGGTTGCTGGTAAGATGGGAAGTAGTTCCCAAAATTGCTCCGCGAGAGACTCAAGACGAGATGCAGCTCTCATCCTAGATTCGATTTTGGAGTCAAGACGGGTTTGGAGAAATCTCAGAAAAAAGGCGATCAAGCAAGCTGGTGACATGCTGAACTGGACAAGTATGAAAGCCCTGGCGCAAGACCATGCCAATCTCTCAGCTTAAATGAGGCCCGGACGGGAGGCATCCTTGTGAAGTCTGGAGCCACTGCAATCTCAGCAAGTGGACCACAGGAACTCCTAGCGTCTGAATCTGGTGGCCAAGGGTCTGGATTTAGCTTTTTCAGAGAGAGAGGCAGGGAGAGAGAGAGAGAGACTCCAAGGTAGGTGTCGAAACAGGATGCCCAAATTGATTGGTTCCTAACTGGGAAAGATATGCGCTGTGTCCATTCAAGAGGACTCCACCAAACTAAACGGAAAGAAAGCACCATTTGTAGAGGCGCGCTCAACATCACAAAGGGAAGCGACTGGGGGAAGAGCAGGGTTTTAGACAAGCGCTGTGAGGGTTAAGGCAGGAGTTTGCACGGCACAATGGGTGCCTCTAGAGGTTCTGCAGACCCCAGTGGGTGCAGTCAGTCCAAAATACCTGAATGGACCCTCCAAATCGTTGGTCTCTCTTTGGTTGACTCCAAGATGGCAGGGGTTCTGTTTGGCTTCCGTTCCAAGTTGTTGACGAGGAACGTTCCGGACGCTTCTCGATCGAGGTGTCCGTTCGGTGGAAGGAGATGCCCACGCCGGAGATTTTGCGCTGCTCGCTGATGGAGCTTATGCTCTCTGCCTGGCAGCCCCAGCTGGGGGGGAGGGTGAGTTAGAGCCCATTTTGCGTAGCCATCGATCCGTTTTCGGGATATGTGTTTGCATTAGCAAAATGCAACATGTGCCTTTTGTTGCCGTCAGTACCTTATTTGGCACTCGAAGCCCTTTTTCGAGGGCACCGACCTGTTTGAGGGGAGAGGAGCCAAAGGTAAAACATTCCCCTTTTCTAGGAACGACGCTTTTTTGGGGGTGACGACCCCCCACTCTGAGGACAACCGAAGGGAGACCGAAGCGAAATTGAGTTTTGTCATCAGTCTTTGAGGGTACCCTTTTCCAGAAACTGTTTCAAGAGGAAGGGGCCCTATTTTTTGAGGCCCTGTCAAGGTTTATTCGTGGCACCGCATATGCGTGGGCTCTGACTTCCCAGCATCCGCCGCCGCTTTTTGGCGCGGCACCGGGCCCAAGTGAGGTGCTGAGCTCTGGCCTGCAGCCCAGCTGCTTTTCGGAGGCCCTGGACCCGCCCCCCAAGAGCCGCATCGACCAGGCGGGCGGACCCGTCGGCACCCGTCGGGACCCGTCGGGACCCGTTGGGACCAGTAGGAAAAGGGTGAAGAAGGGGGCAGGTAGAAAAGGATGAGGCCTCCGACTTTCTGAGTCTGCATCTTCCCCCATGCCTGGCGCTTCGCAGGCTTATCTAAAACTCGTGTCGCGGTGTGCAGGCGGTCACCACTCTACGAGCCACTGGCGCGGTGGAGGAAGGGGCCCAGAAGCTCAGAACTCGAGCCGCGGTTGGGACTGCCGGGAAAGGCCGCGACAACTGGACGTTTCGTTTGCTGTGGTGTTGTTCGCTTTCCAGGGTGGCCGTGGCTTGATGTGTTCGCAGGCTATTCCCCAATAGTGGTGTGGGGCCATTTGCAGCAAAAAACGCGACTGTGCCGGGAAAATCAAACCTACTTGTTTTTGCAATTCGCAACCCATGAATAAATCGTAAGCAAGGTTGTAGCAGTAGCAGTGCGTACCTGGTATGCACACACACACACACATGCGATCCCTTCAATCGGGCGTGTTCTCGTTGGGGCGCCTGCTTCTTCTGGGTGCTGCATAGCGGATCGAAAGACAATGCATGTTTGTTTTGTTCTTTACCTCTGGCACCTTGGCACTTCATTTCTGCGCTCATTTATGCCTCACATGATAACACGCTCCTCGATCGAAGGAAAGACGAGCTTAATGACTCTTGAAGGTCCCTGGGGGATTCAATATGAACATATCTATATGTGATTACTCCTATACTCGCGACATCTTCTGACTGAATGTGGGTTTTTGAGTACCCCTACGACCCCGTTCTATGTGCTTGAGGCCTAACGGTATCTACCCCATTTTTGGTTTCCTTTAAAACCCTAGAAAAGGCCTCAAAGACAACACGCGCATGCACACACAGGGACAGGGCCCGCGCTTGAGTCATTGAGGTTCGACCCGCCGACGCGGTGCGCTGGACCCGCGAGGAAGAGGAGACCTGGCAACTTGGCTTAGCTCGGGCCCGCGAAGGTCCCTTTGGAGAACATTTCAATTAGGTATCTTTGAATGATAACAACACATTATACGTTTTAAAACACTGATTTTATATTTGTTTCTTATGGGTTGCATGAATCCTAGTTGTTTTTCCTGTCCACTGAAATACCAAGTTTTGAGGGCCCGAGCTGGTTCAACTGGCGGATAGGGGCTGAAGTGGCACCCTAGGGCATGGGATCTAAACCTATACACCAATACTAAACCTACACTAAATCAATGTGACCAAACCTGCTGGCCTTTGACCTGCAGGTTCCTTCAGGAGATGCGTTGAGCCAAAATGACGAAAGGGCGAAAGAGATGGTGAATCCAAGAGATGTGGTGGAAAACGGTAGCATCAGGCTTGTTGGCTTGTTGGCTTGACTTGGCAGCCAAGATGCAATACTTCACCTCTTCTTGTGTTGTAGCAAGGCATGGAGGTCCTTTTTCGCCAGCTTCTGGAGGGCCAGGCTCGGCCACACATGGCCCAACATAAAGCGGTTTGGATGTTGGGCCCAGGGGCCAGGCGGTTCCGCTCGCCGGGACACCACGAGTCCAGAAAATCGCCCCTATCTTGGATAGGTGGTGTCCACATGGCAACTGGGAGTTGCATCGCCTCACTCCCTCTAGGTGTTCCATCATCGACTCGTCAACTGGTCCGAGGTATGTGGTGACACCGGTGGGCCCGCGCCTTAGAATACGACCTTAAGCATTGGGTGGGTACGTGCTTGTTTGAGGCTCGGTACCCTTTTAAGAAAGGAAAGAGGGGGGTCCAAATCCCTATCTTGACGCGGACACCCGTATATTTTGAGGGTAGCGCAGCGCCCGTTAAGCCAACAGGGTGTTTCCCCCAAGCCCAGCGGGGTGCTTCGCATGTGAGCTGATGGGCCAGAACCAGTCAATCGCAGCTTGGCTATTGCAAGATGTTTTCTTTTCTTTTTTCTTTGTCAAAATGGGTGTGGCTCAAAATTAAACAGGAGGGGTTACGCACGTTTTGCTCCATGTTTGGCCCTATGTTGGATCCCGCAAGCTTGGGCCGCTCTTATTCTGCTAAAGTACGCTAATTTAGCAGGGCTTCTAAACGAAGAAATGCCATTTGAAACATGACCGTTGGTACCGTTTCCACACCAAGAGGACACCATTCTGTCTTTCTTGGCAAGGCCTTTGCTTGGCGCGCTTGCCCTGCGATGTGCGTCTGGGCAAGCCGGGTGCTCAGAACGCGCTCACATAGAGATTCGGATGCCTGGGGATTTCGCCGAGGTAGGCAACCACCCCCCATTCTAGACACACATTGCCGCATACACAGCTTCTCTGAGGCTACACACACTCTGGATCCATCGAAGTGACCATGTGTAGAGCGGTTCCTGAAATTTCTGTTGGGTCCTGCTGGTTTCCCTGCACACGACCAGTACTCCGGGCAGGTGGGTAGAAGAAGCACAGATGGCCGAATACCACAGTTGTTTCTCCAGTCGCCCTCCGGATAGGCTTTCATACACTTATTTCTCAGCACCTCCACCTTGTTCTTGTACCTGCAGGAAGGAATCCCCCTTCTTGTTGTGAAGGCCTCCTGCTAAAAAGTTGCCAGAGCAGCATTTCTCTTCAGTGGCTTGGTTCCTAGTCTCCTTTTCACGGTTCTCTTCGCGTTTTTCCATGGTTCCTCACTCCCTGAGTTCTTGGACTTTAGATTTCTTTTTTGGGAAGACCATGTTGGTAAACAAAAACACAAACAAGTGTTTTTGGGGAAGACCATTTTGGTAAACAAACCAAGTCCCTGGACTTCTTCTTTCGGCCCATCCCAGGAAAAAGCGCTTTGTCGGCTTTTCGATGTGTCCCCATGCTGACGTCCGAGGATGGTGCTCTACGCCGCCCTCTTCGGCGGCGTGGAGGCCGCAAGGAGCTCGGCGTGTGCGGGGCTCCGCGGCTCCGCTGGGCGGGGCTGGGCATTGAGAAGGGGCCAAAAGAGGTCCGTTTTTTCTTGTGGTTTTTTGAGGAAGCCCGATCCAGGAGAGGTCTTGCTTGGTTTCTTGAGGAAACCCGACAAGAGTACTCCAGCGGATGTTGCACATGGGATGGTGAGTGTTGGGTTGCTTCGCACTGGCCTTTACTTGCGCCCAAGTGAGACACATGGGGAATGGGCATCAAACTTTGGTACACAGAAAGGGGGGCCCGGCGATTTTCCGAAGTCCTTTGCAAAGTGGCGGTGGTCGTTTTGCTATGGCTCGGTTCGTGTGGGGTTGGTTTTCCGCGGCTGGCTGCTCTTTCGGTCTTGGTCTTTCCGAGCAACCCGGGACCGGTGCTCCGTTGGGTTTCGTCAGTCAGAAGACAGCCAGCAATCTCCAGAATCCAGAGACATGGCCATGGGGCACAACCTATGGCTCCATTTGGGGTGGATGATCATCCATTTGTCACCTATTTTGATGTTCACCAGGGGTACAGGGTTTTGACCCACAGCCATCAGTGTGATCTCCGTCTGATGTTTGCCCCTTTGAGCAGACCTGAGTTTGCCCCCAACGCATTCGGCCCTGGTTTTCCAGCAGGACTCCTTTCTTCTTTCATTTATTTCTGGGTAGGGTTGTGGTACAAAGCAAGCAGCACACTTACAAGGAGCGCTTTTTTGAGTATGTTCCGCAACAAGGCCCGCTCGCACTCAAAAGTACGCTCTTGTTTCAGAAAGACAGCCAACTAAAACACAACAACCAGCCCAACCTAGAGTTAAACCCCGAAAAGTTTGCCACTCTGTGTCCAAGTCCATCTTGAGGCAATCAATGAGTATGTGACAAATCATATTGGAGGCCCCAAACATGGTGTTGTTCCTGTTGGTTCCCTTTGAACCAACCTGAAAAGGGTTCCCTTAACAAACACAAAACACGCACATGCATATACACTACCCGGAGAATAGATGGCACATTTACGACGTATATTTTTAAGTAGATGGCACGGTGTGATTTGAAAATGCCAATTCACAGTTGGCACATATCTTCAATTATCCGGCGAATTGTGCCATCTACTGGCTCAAAAAATCAGGGAATATCCAGGGGGTCAAAAACATTGTGCCATCTACTTTGCAAACATGTCCGCCGACCCCTTTGGCTCTTCTGTGAGTGGATCGGAGTGAAGTGGGAGTGGAGTGGCGTGGCGTGGAGTGGCGTGGGAGTGGGGTGGAGTGGAGTGGAGTGGAGCGGAGCGGAGTGGAGTGGAGCGGCGTGGAGTGGGGTGGAAGACGTCGGGGGGGACTGCGAGGCTTTTTCGGTCCTCTACATGGGTCTCCCGTTTCCGGGCCAGCCGGAGCAAGAGCGTTAATTAAACTGCAAACATCACGCATATGTGTTCGGACTTTCTTAAAGCCTCATTTCATTTCAAACTTTGTGATTACGACTCACTCCATTTCCATCGTAACAATTCAGACCTACTGATTCATATTATCAGCCGACATCAGCCGACCAAACACTTAGAAACGTTTGGAAAGGACAGCGGTGCCCAAAAGGAAGCTGCGGCTTCGAAGTGTTAGTTACGCGATTCCTGGGCATCGACAGTTCTGAGTATCGATAGGTTGTCTTTTTCCATTTGGATTCTCTAAAGCGAACTCCGCGTTACACGTTGCTTAAGAACCGCAAACAGCTTATCCTCCTCCCGGGCTTCCTGGGACCCTGAGAGCTGAAACTTGGTGAGACTCTTCCCCGACTGCACCGAGCCGATTCTGTGACAAGTTCACGGAGCACGAACGAAGCTCAACTGCCTGCAAGGTACTTACCTGGCTGCAGCTTGTGTGGCTGGACTTCCCCGCTGCCCGGGAAACTGCCTTGTGGAGGCCCTCCCACAAACGAAGCAAAGTAGATGGCACAATTCCACGCATGACCTTGCCAAGCAGCCCGGCTTCGACTTCCTCCATAACTGCCTGGTTGGGCTTCTTGTCTGCCTGGAAAAATCTCCTACTTACCTGGCTGCAGCTTGTGTGGCTGGATTTCCCCGCTGCCGGAAAACTGCCTTGTGGAGGCCCTCCCACAAACGAAGCAATTCCACGCGTGGGCTTGCCCAGATCTCGGCTTGGACTTCCAGAACTCCCTGCAAGGCTGCCTCAGCCCTCTGCTTGCCTGGTTGGGCTTCTTGTCTGCCTGGAAAAATCTCGTACTTACCTGGCTGCAGCTTGTGTGGCTGGACTTCCCCGCTGCCCGGGAAACTGCCTTGTGGAGGCCCTCCCACAAACGAAGCAAAGTAGATGGCACAATTCCACGCATGACCTTGCCAAGCAGCCCGCTTCGACTTCCTCCACAACTGCCTGGTTGGGCTTCTTGTCTGCCTGGAAAAATATCCTACTTACCTGGTTGCAGCTTGTGTGGCTGGACTTCCCCGCTGCCGGGAAACTGCCTTGCGGAGGCCCTCCCACAAACGAAGCAATGCCACGCATGGGCTTGCCAAGCAGATCTCGACTTGGACTTCCTCCATAACTCCCTGCAAGGCTGCCTCAGCCCTCTGCTTGCCTGGTGGGCTTCTTGTCTGCCTGGAAAAATCTCGTACTTACCTGGCTGCAGCTTGTGTGGCTGGACTTCCCCGCTGCCCAGGAAACTGCCTTGTGGAGGCCCTCCCACAAACGAAGCAAAGTAGATGGCACAATTCCACGCGTGGGCTTGCCAAGCAGCCCGGCTTTCATCTCGGCTTGGACTTCCTCCATAACGCAAGGCTGCCTCAGCCCTCTGCTTGCCTGGTTGGGCTTCTTGTCTGCCTGGAAAACTCTCGTACTTGTGGAGGCCCTCCCACAAACGAAGCAAAGTAGATGGCACAATTCCATGCGTAAACTGCCAAGCAGATCTCGGCTTGGACTTCCTCCATAACTCCCTGCAAGGCTGCCTCAGCTTGCCTGGTTGGGCTTCTTGTCTGCCTGGAAAAATCTCGACTTGCCTGCCTGCAGCTTGTGTCGCTGGACTTCCCCGCTGCCCGGGAAACTGCCTTGTGGAGGCCCTCCCACAAACGAAGCAAAGTAGATGGCAAAATTCCACGCGTGGGCTTGCACTCTTTGGGCTTCTTGTCTGCCTGGAAAAATCTCGTACTTACCTGGCTGCAGCTTGTGTGGCTGGACTTCCCGCTGCCCGGGAAACTGCCTTGTGGAGGCCCTCCCACAAACGAAGCAAAGTAGATGGCACAATTCACGTGGGCTTGCCAAGCAGCCCGGCTTCGATCTTGGCTTGGACTTCCTCCATAACTCCCTCTGCTTGCCTGGTTGGGCTTCTTGCCTGCCTGGAAAAATCTCGCACTTACCCGGCTGCAGCTTGTGTGGTTGGACTTCCGCGCTGGCCCTCCCACAAATGAAGCAAAGTAGATGGCACAATTCCACGCGCGGGCTTGCCAAGCAGCCCGGCTTCGATCTTGGCGTGGACTTCCTCCATAACTCCCTGCAAGGCTGCCTCAGCCCTCTGCACAAATGAAGCAAAGTAGATGGCGCAATTCCACGCGTGGGCTTGCCAAGCAGCCCGGCTTCGGTCTCAGCTTGGACTTCCTCAATAACGCTGCCTCAGCCCTCTGCTTGCCTGGTTGTCTTGTCTGCCTGGAAAAATCTCGTACTTACCTGGCTGCAGCTTGTGTGGCTGGACTTCCCCGCTGTTCGGGAAACTGCCTTGTGGAGGCCCTCCCACAAACGAAGCAGAGATGGCGCAATTCCACGCGTGGGCTTGCCAAGCAGCCCGGCTTTGATCTTGGCTTGGACTTCCTCCATAACTCCCTGCAAGGCTGCCTCAGCCCTCTGCTTGCCTGGTTGGGCTTCTTGTCTGCCTGGAAAAATGTCGTACTTACCTGGCTGCAGCTCGTGTGGCTGGACTTCCCCGCTGCCCGGGAAACTGTTTTGTGGCGGCCCTCTCACAGACGAAGCGAAGTAGATGGCACAATTCCACGTGGGCTTGCCAAGAAGCCCGCCTTCGATCTCGGCTTGGACTTCCTCCATAACTCCCTGCAAGGCTGCCTCAGCCCTTTGGTTGCCTGGTTGGGCTTCTTGTCTGCCTGGAAAATTCTCGTATTTACCTGGCTGCAGCTTGTGTGGCTGGACTTCCCCGCTGCCCAGGAAACTGCGTTGTGGAGGCCTCCCACAAACGAAGCAAAGTAGATGGCACAAGCAGCCTGGCTTGGACTTCCTCCATAACTTCCTGCAAGGCTGCCTCAGCCCTCTGCTTGCCTGGTTGGGCTTCTTGTCTGCCTGCAAAAATCTCGTACTTACCTGGCTGCAGCTTGTGTGGCTGGACTTCC